CTACCATAAGAAATTTATTGTACAAGGAGTTAATTCTACAAAACGAAACGATCGAAATTGGAAAACAACAATCGAAGAAATGGAAAGAGTGCTAAGGCAGTTAGAAGCAATTGGCGAAAACGTAGAGCGACCTACCACTGAAACTATGATAGAATCCAAATTATCAAATTGGATACTAAATTAAGTTTGTCAACAAAAAAAGGAGGGTAACCAGTGGTCCATAATAAAACTTCGACAGTTTTTCAGAAAAACAATCCTCAGGAACGACCAGGTAATGGAATGGCAATATTCAGATAGTGTAAGTCGAAAAAAATTTGATCAACGTCCTAATTCAACCATCTCAGAAACCTCTGCATTGGTTGCAATGAAACATTCAAAGCAAACCGCTTCAGTACAAAGGGACCAGCTAGATCAAGAAAGTCCAAATTGGGTGACAAATAAGAAAAGGAGACCTTGTATCTTCTGCAACAACAATCACTGGGATAGCAAGTGTCAAATATATCCTACAGTCGAGCAACGAATTTGTCGATTGAAGGAAATTAAGGTTTGCCCTAATTGTTTCAAGCTTGGACATAGCGAATTCGACTGCAAAAAAGAGTAAGTTGTTTTTATAGTAAGAAATCTCATAACAGCTCCCTTTATACCGATAAAACTAACCAGTTCAAGCAGCCCAAAGATTCTGGAGTTGACAAAGGAAAGATTGTGGTTAGAAATGCAAATATATCTGTTAATTCGACTACGAAAGTCGAAAAGAAAAGAATACTGTTTTTATGTAAAGAAATTACTGTTTTTAATCCTGATAAGCCTGAACAACAAGTACAAGTCCTAGTACTCTTTGACGTCGGTGCTGATGCAACCTTCATTTCACAAAAGTTAGCACATCAACTGAATCTCAGAGAAACCGATGAAGAATACATAATCTCCTCCTTTGGCACAGGAATCCCAGGATATGCTACGTAAGTCAAACACAAATTGGAGTAAAAATGAAAGGCTCAAATCATATGACTGTTATAGATTATCTAACAAGTAAACTTCGTTATAGATTATCTAACAAGTAAACTTCAAATGGTTGAAGTACCAGACAAATATGAAATTAGCAATCTCAGAAGTTACCAACTTTTTTGTTGTTATCTTATCTAACCATTTTGCATTTATATGTTTAAACCCTTAATTTCCCATGTCAATCATTCTGTTTAATCTTGTTATAATGCTTGTACCATATCCGGTGTGTTTCCGATACTTGAATTCTTCATGTAAACCACTCCCATTCTTAACATAAATAATCTGGGTCCAAATCCGGGGAGGCTTTTTGGCTTCCCCTCTTCTAAGGTTATCGTTTCTTCTTCTGTTTATTCTTCGCTTCTACGGACATTGGCGGA